GAGGAAAATTAAATCTTTCTTAAAAGTTTATTTTCATGAAAAACAGCAAGAAAATCCCACAGTTGTTGCAGATCATCAGTTTAGGATCCTCCTATTTTAGTAGCTGAGATATAGACATTTATTTTGAAAATAAATTTGTGATCACTGTATTGTATTTACTTTTTATTGGTTTTTCTTAGTTATACATGACAGTAGAATCCATTTTGATAAAATTATGAAATATATCTTATTCTAACTAGAACCGATTAATCTTGTGGGTGGGCATGATGGTGGGATTCACTTAGGTATTTTCATATGTGTACTGAAGAAAATTATGTTATATTTATTCTACTGTCTTTCATATTCCTATCCTCACTCCCTTCCCTTTTATCTAATCTACTGAACTTCTTCTCCTCTCCACCCTTTATTGTGATTTAGTTTCCATATCAGTAAGGACATTCGACCTTTGATTTTTTGGAATTGGCTTATTTCATTAAGCATAATAGTCTCCAGTGTAAAATCTTGCATATACTAAAAGAAAATGTAGGCCTAACACTTCAACATATTGGCTTAGGAACTGACTTCCTTAACAAGAATCCTAAAGCGCAAGTAATAAAATTAAAAATCAATCAATAGGATGCCATCAAGCTAAAAAACTTCTTCACAGCAAAAGAAACAATCAAGTGAGTGAAGATAGAACCTAGTAAATGGGAGAAAAATCTTTGCCACCTACTTCTCAGGGCATTAATATCCAGAATATACAAATAACTCAAAAAACTAAACACCCAAAATAAATGAATAAATAACCCCATCAATAATTGGGCAAAGGAACTAGACAGACACTTTTCAAAAGAATACAAACGGTCAACAAATATATATTAAAAACTCTAGCAAAATGCGAATTTAAACTACACTGAGAGTTCATCTCATTCCAGTTAGAATGGCAACTATCAGGAATACAGGTAACAATAAATGTTGGCAGGATGTGGGGGAAAGGATATACTTATACTTTGATAGTGGGACTACAAATTGGTGTAACAATGAGGAAAGCAGTATGGAATGCCTCAAAAAACTAGAAATGGAACCACCATTTGACACAGTTATCCCACTCTTCATGTTCACATGATTTAAAATCAGCATGCAGTGATGCAGCGATATCAATGTTTGTAACTAAATAATAATTGCTAAGCTATGGAACTGACATACAAGTCTATCAACAGATGAATAGATAAAGAAATCATGGTTTTATATATTTTATATATACACAACAGAATATTTCCAAGCTATAAAGAAGAATGACTTCATGACATTTGCCAGTAAGTTGATTCATATCTTAACCATGGACAAAAATTAGTTTAAAATAGATCATACACTTAATTTTAAAAATATGAATCTAATAAACCTTAGATAACATTTTTGTGGTATTTGGTAAATTAAATATTTCTGAGATGACACAAAAACACAGTGTAGAAGAAAAAAATTATCTTCTATGTCTTCAAAACACTGCTAAGAGTGAAAAGACAGAACAGAGAATATGTTTTCACATTGTATATCTGATAAAGAACTTGTAATGTATAAAGAACTCTCAAAGCTGAATAATTAAACAACAATTGATATTTGCAAAAGATTTAAACAGACACTTCACCAAGGAAGATATGCAAATGTGAAATTCATGTATAAAAAACATACATTCTGAAATGCAATTAAAATCACAATGAGATAGCATTACATACCTTTCAGAATCCTTTTATTGAACACTGACTGCATTAGGTGTTCACAAGAGGAACTGGGACTCTATACCATTTTGGTGGGAGTGAAAAATTATAACTACTCTGCAGTACAGGTGGTGATTTTTCTAAATGTTAATCATATACCTTTCATATGATTCAATCCTTCTAAGTCTACATATTAATCTAAAGAAAGGAAAAGTTAGACAAATAAGAGGCCTTGTATACTTTGTGACTCAATTTGTATGAAAGTTAGAAAATGTCGTTACCTGTAGTGATAGAAAGTGGATCAGTGGTTGTCTAGGAGCCAGGGAATGGAGAGACAGGAAGGTGGGAATTAAATGGGGCCTGCAGAAATCTCTGGGCTGATAGATGTATTCATAATCTTGAGGGTAGTAATAGTTTTCACAGATTCAGTATGTGCCAAATCTTACCATTTTGCCTACTTAAATAGTTGCAGTTGATTTTTAAAAAATATTTTTTTAGCTGTAGGTGGGCACAATACCTTTTTTTATTTGTTAATTTTTATGTGGTGCCAGGGATTGAACCAAGTGCCTCACGTGTGCTTAGATAAGTGCTCTACTACTGTGTCACAAACCAAGCCATGGTTGCAATTAATTTTAAAACAATTATATTTTGAAAAATACAATTATATTTAGAAAACAGGGCTGGGTTATAGCTCAGTGGCAGAATGCTTGCCTTGCATATGTGAGGCACTGGCTTTGATCCTCAGCACTACATAAACATAATTAAACAAAATAAAGATATTGTGTCCATCTATAATTAAAAAAAAAGACAGAGAAACTTTAGGAAACAAAACCTTAAAAAAACAGTGTTTAAAGAATCACAGGGAAGTTTGCTCAAAATACTCTTTCTAAAATTAATTTTTAATTGTGTAAAAAATATAAAAATTTATATATTGATGGGGCATATGTGGTGTTTCAACATGTAACACATTGTGTAATGTTTAAATCAAGTTAAACACATTTATTGCCTCAAGAGTTATCGTTTTTTATGATGAAAACTTTCAAATTCCCTTTTTAAGCTTTTTGAGATATCCAGAAAATTATGATTATCCATAGTTATCTTATTGTGCAATTGCACATCAGAACTTCTTTCAGTTAGGAACTAACTGTAACTTGGCATCCACTGATCAAACTTTCCCCTTCCTTCATACCCTCTACTCTTTGCTTCTATGAGATGAAGATTTTTATGTCCCACATACAAGTGAAATCAAGCAGTACTTTCTTCTTGTGCCACATTATAATATCACATTATATTATGTGATTTCACATCACACAATGATCTCTAGTTCCATCTGTGTTTTTTGCACATCTTCTGTATATATATTCACCAGTTGTTTCCATGGAAAGACTCTATCTAAATCTTAGATGAGTTTCCAAATCTGCATTTTAACATAAGACTTTCAGGGAAATCCTGATGCAGGATATCACAACATTTCTAACCTTGAGAAATAATACTTTATATAGATTTCTGTAAAAATCATATCCTATGTTTAACATGCCTGATCCAAAAGTTCATAGGTCACTTGTGCAGAGAAAAAGCCAAAATCAGTGTTTTAGTTATCTTTGCACATTGCTGTGACCAAAAGACCTGACAAGAAAAATATAGAACAGGAAAAGTTTGTTTGGCCTGATGGTTTCAGAGGTTCAGTGTATAGCTGGCCGGCTCAATAGCTCTGGGCCCGAAGTGAGGCAGAACATCACGGCAGAAGGTTGTGGCAGAGAAAAGGAGCTCAGGACTTGACCACCAGGAAACAGAGAGTGAGGTCCACTACACAGGGACAAAATGTAAACCTCAAATTCAAGCCACAGTGACCTGCTTCCTCAAACCACATCCTACCTTTCTCTAGTTAAACATATCAGAGGGTTTTTTAAATCTTTTAAACTCCTTATTTTAAGGTTCTAAATTATTGTTCTTTTAAAGATTTTTAGTTCCTTTTTGTTCATATTATTACTAATTTAATTCATGTTATTAATAACGCCTCTTTAAATTTGATGGCAAATGTATTTACATATATCACTTGAAAGACTCTTTTACCATAATGGTATGCTAGACGTGTGCATGTATATGAGCTGACACTGGTTTCTTTTTTCTTCTATAGTTAAAAAACAGTATCTTTAAGTCAGTGGTCTTTAAGCCAAGTTCAACATCCATCTTTTTGTCCTGGACTACAATGTTTGAAGTCCACTTTGTAAGATCTGGCTCATTTTCAAACAAAAATACTAAAGGGGGTTAAAGTAGGGAACCTATTTGTTGCTTATTCTGTGCAGTTAGTTGGTGATCTTCTGGAGCATCCTGAGCAACATGCTAGCTGTTTGGAGCAACCATTCACATTGGTGACATTTTAATCCATTCTACCAAAACCACTGTGTATAACTACCTCTTTTTTAATCATTTTGGAAAGATGGCAGCCACAATCCTTCTCACTGAGATCTGTACTTGAGGACTGAGAAGGTAGAATATTTTCTTTTCTGGCAGCATCTCTAAATGATTGACATAGATCTCATCACTCTCCTAGACTAGAAAGAATTGTGGAAAAACAAAGCTACTGAGCATTTCTTCAGTCAATAGCACTCTCAGAATTTTTATCACGATACATCAAATCAATCACTCCTCAAAGCCTCTTGACCTAAGGGGCTTCCTAGGTCCTTTCTTAATACATCAGTGCTGAGCCCAGCTTTCTCCTATCTAAGCTGAACATCTTGGATCACATCATACATCTTCAGTCTGACCTTGCTCAGTTTTACAGTCTCTCAAGTTACTACTCTCCAAGGGATGGTAAAATTCTGTTACACCATTACTACTCAGTCGCTTATCAGTAAGGATTCCATTCTCTAAGTGAGTTTTTTTTTTTTTTATTTCAACCAGTCCAAGATAAAGATGACATTCACTGAGAATCAAGCCAATGTCCTTATCATTCTCAGAAAACAAATTTTTTTTCTTCCTTTCCTTTGTTACACAATGCACTCTTCTGTTACTTTAACTCAGTTTAGGGCATCTCTTTACTCCTGCCAGGCCTAGCCCAGGATTAAATAATTGAAAGTCTCCTGCTTGTGTAGTTCTCTTCGTTCTTCAGTTAGAGCCTATGATGCATTATGAATAATTTGTTCTTTATCTTTTGAGTTGCAAAATTCATCTTTTGAATCTTACAACTTAATACAGTCTTGGGTGCTCTGGTGCTCAAATGCTCTGTCTATACTTATTGATTGTTTCATTGTCTAACAATTCTTTATGTAATGTAATAAGCTTAAGAAATTCAAGAAACACTCATTTCATTCAATTTCCTTTATTGAGTAATTGTTAACAATAAAAGAGGTATAAAGTTTTGTTCCCAAGTCCAAACTGATTTTTAACTTATACCTTGAGTTTTTTGAATTACCCAATCTGAAGTAATTCTCTTTATACCTGAAAAAAATTGTTTTTATTGAAATGTTTGAGATAAAAAATATGTATTGCAAGAAGCATATGACAACATTTCAAGAGTACAAAATTAGTTGTAAAAATAACATAATTTACCAGTAAACCTACATTATTAGAAATGTGTAAAGCCTTTGGAAGTAAAAGTATTTTCATTTGTTTGTTTGTGATATCTAAGCACCCATTTTTATAACTTAGCTTCCCATGGAGAGGTAACTGTTTGCATGCTTTTGATTTAACCATTACGTACATTCAACGATCAATCTTCTCAATGAGATAACAGCTCACCACTCTTAGATTTGAGTCACAATGAATCTAGTGACAAGGATTTTCTTTGATGGATTCCCACTTTAGTCAGAACTCTTAATTTCAGGATAAAAAAGCCTATAAGGTACTATATTCCTTCAGTTCCTATCCCACAGGAGGCTAATCCCACCATTTTTCTCAAGTTTTTCCATTTAGAAAACAAAACAAAACAATAAAAGAATTCAACGTGTGTTCAGAATTGTTCCATGATTTGTCTTGTGCTGATGTTTTAGTTCCCAAAGTTAAATTGGCTCTCATAGTCTTCCTTTTAAGGTCAGGTTGTTGACTTAGGGTTCTATATGTGTTGATTAGCTTTTAGATTTTCATTGAGAACGATCTTCTCTGGATCGTCTTCTAGACCCTGATTAGGAGGAAGAGGAACATACAGATGTAAAGATGATGAAACTTCACAGAAAAATAAAATCAATAAAAATAAATAAATAAATAAACAAACAAACAAATAAATAGAAAGAACATGAAAAATTTTTAAAAAAGAATGATATTCTGTGAATAACATATCTAGTTAAGGTACTCTTTCTCATTGTACCAAATTTCACTTATATTATTTTCTTTTAATAATATCCTCAGTTTATAGTGATGGAACCAAGATTGTATTTTGATCAAAGGTGTAAAGAAATAATAATCTGAAACTTGATTCTTTTAATTCTTTAGAAAATTTGGATGATTTGGGGTGTTTCAAAGAAATTTTTTATAAATATTTCTTTAAAAAACATTTGTGCAATCAACCCTTTAATTCCAAAACTTTAAACATTGGGAAGGCTTAAAATTGCATTAGCATAACATTTTAACTAGTGTAACTTGTTTTGATTATTAGTAAGTAATTCTCTTAGGAATTCTAAACTTGTAATTCCAAGCTTGTCATTTAAGTTCCACAAGGGAAATCTTTGCTACTTCAAAGTATTGTGATGTAAGATAACCTAAGAGGAGGAATTAAAATATGCACATAAATGTAGAATTGAAAGTTATAGTGCTATGATATATTCAGATACATAAATAATTTATACATTTATATCAAAATTTTATAAATAGTTACATTAACAGTTTTCTATTCTAATTTACTTATGTCTCAAACCACAGCTTTGTCTTAGATGATATTTTTTAACAACTTAGGTCTACCTGAACTTGGCTCTGGTATTCAAACATTTTTTCTTTACTTAACTCTACTTGAGTTTACCTCAAAGGTTCAATGTCTAAACAGTTTATGTGAATATAGTTGTCTTTCTTTTAATACTTGATACACTTAGATTCCATTAATAGTGCAGGACTTGAGCAGTTCATTTCCTTATACTTATCATATAAATACTTGGGATCAAAACTTTCTAACTTTTCCCCTTAACAGAAAATAAAGTTTAATGAAGTACATCAACAATCCTTTGATATCTCTCATTCAAAACATGCCATATACACACATTACAATAGTTAATACACTGACCTTGAACTCTTTTGTTGGCTTGTAACTTTCTCACAGGTGTATCTAAAATTAAAGATTTATATTTAGAAATAATTTGCAATTATGGGTTAAATCAGATAGGAGACCATGGTTAAATAGAAAAGTATAAAGTTTTAAATGAATATCACTTAAATACATCAATTTTTGGAGTAGTAAATTTTAATGATCCTTAGAATTTCACATTAACAACGAACAAGGAGTCATTAGTTTTCCATGCATTGTAATGAGTATTCACTAACTGCAAAACAAATTGTTTCATTTTATGCCTTTTTTGTTGCCTAGAGTAAATGACTTGCATAAATGTTTTAACCATTTGTAAAAAGAATTACACAATGATGAAATAATATATAAAGTTTAACACAACTATCTTCCCAATGATTGCCATCTTTCTTTAAAGTCATTCCTATGTATAACAAATGTCTTTGAAAAATTCTTTTTATAGATCAACTTTTGAATTAATTATTGTGAATGACCACAGCAAAACCACTTTGACCTGATCACTCTAGACATATAATAATAAATAATTCAGGAAGAGTATGCTAACATCCTCCCTTCCTCAATGCAATGTCAATCCACAGAACTGTAGGTATATAATCATAGAGACTCTCAAAAAATTAACTAGTTGAAAATAATAAAAGCTTTCATATTAAATAATGGCAATTTATAATAACTGCAGCTATGAAATTAATAATAATAATTTGTTGTTATTATTATTATTTGCATAGTTACATTGCTGTGACTTTGGAAATTTAAAGTAAGGTGAAAAAATATTATCTTATTGATCATGTAACTGTTCATGGACATTAATTTTGAAAGTAACGTTTTCTGGAGTTTACAAAACTCTGTGCTGAGTATTATTCCAAGAGCTTTCATATTCACTCATTTAAATGTAGGTAACATTACTATACTCATTTATAAAGAAAGAAAATAAAAAATATTTACAAAAACTTTGTAAATAAAGAAAGCAGAAAAGAGTCAATTAATTCAGGTTTGAATTGTAGCTCAGATTGAAGCCAGTCCCACAACATGATTCACATTCTCTACAAATGTCATAAATATTTACACATTACGTTGACAGATTTGCCTTTCTCCATAGTCTGATATTCTCCTTTCATTGCTTGAGTATTCTCAGTATACAGACTTCTACCAAAATTAAGCATCAAAAATTTTATGCCTTTTTGTGAGAATATTTTTTTTAGTTCAGGGCTTTGATATATTTAAGTGACAAATCACACTGTGAGTACCAAAAGTATTGCTTAGCCTTGTTAACAGTTATGACTTAACTGATTTGCAAGTTCATTTAATTCATCAGTATATACAATATGTTCCAAAATGTTCACAGAATGAAAAAGTCACATAGAAAACTCCAAGTTTTAAAATGAGACCATGGTTGGGATATGGGTCAATCAGCTAGACTCTGAAAAAGAAAAGCCAATCTTGCACGATGCCATCTGCATTCCTACCAATGTTTTGTAAATCAGTGCCTCTTAGAATCTAACCACAGGGGCCCTTGTGACTCCATAATGACCTGAGGGTTAGAAAAGAAAACTAGCATATCCCATTAATGTCCACATACTAGTAACTGTACTGCATATACTCTTTCTATGGGAAGACAAACCTTAGAAATATTTTGATAAGATTTATTATGTGGCCTTATGGAAACATGTGTTTCTGATATAAGGATAGTTTGTATACTGAGAACTGAAAGAATCAACTTCTGGGGTAAATAGAAACAGAAATAAGAAAAAAATCCATTAATTAAAAACAGAACATCACTTTTTTGACTTGTAGCAGTTATCTCTCCCGGATGGATCAACACTTTATAATGTATTTATAATATACTTGTTTGTAATGGACATAATAAGAAAGCCTTATTAAAAGGGGAAAATCATACTTACCTACAGTTTAACCTAAATGAATAAAAGCAATATAAACAAGGCAGCTACTAATGAATTCATTCTCTAAAAAGCACTGCCATTCTACAAAGCTGTTAACTATGTCATGAATAATAAAAAAAAAAGAATTCAATTTAGTCTTTATAATTTGTTTACCTTTTTCTTCAAATCCATGTTGTTTCATAATAGAGAGTTGTGTGTTTAGGAATAGATCGCTGAATTTCATCTTATAGGAAGTTTTGGTTTAATTATGCTTAGGATATAACATAACACTCCCTGTGTTAGGAAAGGAAATCTTGTTTTTTCAGACACATATATTTCTATTAAGGGGAGATGCAATCATTGGTTGCATAAATATTTATTTTTACTACCACAAATCTGGAAGCAGGTTTCAAGAGATATGTTAAAGTGTAAAATATAGAAAAAATAATGGCCAAAAATATATGGGATCACAAGAGAATTTATATTATTCTGGCCATACTGACATAATTTTTAAAATTATAAGCAAAAAATTAAAATAACCAGCCATCTAGATACATTTTTAGATAAATATCAAACTTCAGTTACATTTCAAAATTCATAGACTATTACAAATATTATGTTTCTTTTTTTATTCTTTTCTGACTACTTATTTCTACTACTTATTTCTCTAAAACAATTTTTGGTGTAATATTTTTTACTGTTAGCAATTGAACTATAAGTTAATTTATTCAAATACTAATGATCCAGATTATATTTTGTTAACATTTACTACTTGCTTGAATAATTACTATTTAGAGTTTCTGTGATATTTTGAATTCTTTTTTTTCTTTTTCTTTTGAAAGTAAGTCCATTTAATATCATAGATGGAAAACATTCCATACTCTAAGGATTAATTTCACAGGCAAAATAATTCACATTTCCAAGGTAAAGATTATCATTCAAATGTTAGAAGAAACAGCTATTCATTCACAAAAATGTAGTTTTGGAAAAGATAGTTGCTAAATGAGCTCATTTTTTTGCTATATCTATGCATTTAAAAATTAATATATAACATGCCTTTTATTTATTTTATGTTATGGGGGCAGTGAATACATTTTTTGAAAATATAAAAGTCAAATTTTGGAGTAAGAGCTAGAATTTAATAACTCTTCCTCTTTTGCACACTCAGAATATCCTCACAATTATCTGCATTAAAGTAAAAAAAATATTCATTGCTCCCCAAGCTTAATACCACAGAACTTTTTAAAGACTGTATAAACTGTAATTATTTCTTTACAGTGATTACTTCAACAAAACACTTGATTTGTTGGACAACAGTTGATGTTGTCTCTTTTACCTAATTAAAAGAAAACCCAGCATGCTCAGTCTTTAAAAAGCTAAAGAACTCAAACCAGAACCTGTTACAGGGGTTAGTTGTCGTCCTTTTACTAACCTCCCTGAAGCAGTCTTTTAATTTCTTCATCTTCAAATAAATGATCATCACCACCTTCAATGAATTTGGTGACCTTGGTGACCTCTGAGAGGATACATGTTTATAGCAGAAATTGGTTTATATAATGAAAAAAATAGAAGGTTTGCTATGATAAATACTGGCATCAACTCAATAAAGAATTCCAGACCAACACCTGGTTCCTTCTCAGTTTTTAGTGCTGATTTTTGGTATGCAAATTATTTTATAAAGCTGTTAAACAATAGGTAACAATCAATATGATTACTATTTATGCTTCCTTTCATATTTCTGGACGTTTTCCTTATGTTGGTATGGAAGTTGAACAACAGAATGAGGAAGAGTTGAAAACATGTACAAGGCCTTAAAGACTATTTTAGATGTGGAACAAACAGCTGAGCACAACATCCTTATTTTTTAGCTATAACTGACCTTCTTGCAACAATTTATTCAGAGCTCCCACTGCTTCTCCACCTCCAGTAGAAATCCTAGTGTATTTTATTTCAGGACCTAAAGGAAAGACAATAAAACAGGGTAGAAAAACTTCTGTAAAGAACTTAAGAGTTTGTGGGTCATATGGTCTGTGTTGTAATTGTTCTGTTCTGTCATTAAAGTGTGAAAAAGACATAAACATTATATAAAGAAACCTTATTTACAAAAACAACAGATAATCCTTACTTGCTGCTTATTTGTCTGAATAAATACTAGTAGAATATCTGAATTTAGAATTTTAGGTTAATTCATAAGTGGGAGGCTGATACAACGTTATCAATCAAATTTTTATATAAAATTGCATAGATTTTGGTATTAGATGTATAGATATTAAGATTAATGTAAACTCAAAGAGGAAAGTTTTTGATTCTAATATTCGATACCTCGTTAACAAACAGAAAAACAGAGATAATATGCCATATAACATATGTGCAATGCACATCATAGCACATCTTATACACTTGTCCTCAAATTACCAATTCAGAGTAATACATGTATCATACATTTAGAATAATGTTATTTTTCCTAAAAGTGAAATGAAGTACTTCAGTAGTTATCAGGAAACTTGACTTAGTCACTTTGTTTTTATAATGATTCTTGTGGAGATTTTAGGATTAAATATCATTTTGATCTTTATAATACCAGCATAGTTCTATGTATGCAATTTAAAATTACCTGTAATTATTCTTTCTTCACGGGTCTGTTTTTCAGTTATTTCCACAGGCACTCCATCAATTATTTTGGTGTACGTTTTGATAACTGGCTCTAAACATAGAGGGAAAATACATTTCATTTATCTTCATATGGTGTCTATACTTTCATAAGGTTGACATTTTAATAATACAATGTATTTCTCTAAAAATTACCATTTAAGTTTTAATCCTAGTCATTGTTAGAGCATCTCGATAGTAAATTAAAATCAATGTAAGTCTAAAAGGCAATAATTGTCCTGAGTCTTGGATTAGGCGGAGGACCAACTGGCAAGCAACCTTGCCATCACGGAAATGGTAACCCTATGATAAATCCTAGTAATGGTTTATTAGCAGAGTCCTAAACAATGACCATTTTCTCCCATTTCTAATTCCAACATATCTTTTTGAATTGACACTATTGTAGTCATTAGATCGCATTACATTTCATAATCATCACTTACAAATGCAGAAGTAATAGTAGTTTTCAGTGGGCCTAGTGACTTAATAGTTGAATTAATTTCAATAGGATCCACTCAAAGGTAAACTGTTGACTAAATTGTAGCTTTGAAAATGGTTTCCCCAATTTATATAAAATAAACACGAAAAAGAAAACTTTATGGGTTCAACATTTCTAAACCAACACTATTTCCAAATAAACACAAAGATGCTACCCACACACTAGGAAAAACACATAGTAACACACCTCCATGGATGACTTCAGTTATGGTTTCACCTTCTTTAAGCACTCTGAATTCAGGTTCACCTTCAACGTGGATCTTTGTCATTGCAGGTCCTGAGACATCATTTTAGGAGACAAATTATTGTGTTAAAACAGTCCTTTAGATTTCCCAGAACAGGAAAAGTATTCCAACATTTGGTGTTACTCAGACATCAAAGTGTTTCAGGCTTTGTGAAATCAGTTCTAAACATTTCCCATTGTCTTCAGATCAGACAATATTTATGAAAACAGATGGCACATTCTACGGGTGTGCTACTACAATTACTTTCATCTGCTTTAGCATTTAAAGTGATGTATAAATCTGATTCAATTATATCTGTAAAGTATATATGTGTCTATACTTTGTGAATCATACAGAATGTACAAATTTGAATCTCTGTAATGATGCCTAGTTTAGATCTGACATTACCATACTGACATTATCTTTACTTACTAAAATATTTTATTTAAGTCTCTAATCACTGAAGACCTTAATTTTTTGATCTTTTGAGTATAGGACTGAGCATAAGAAAATTGCCTATACTTACCTTTAAAGTGGTGAGTTTCAGGCTTTATGGAAAAATGGATTTGAGTACTCAATTTGTATATTAGACTAATAAAAATTAACTAATTAATAATTAATAATTAAATAGTCCTTCAAATGCAAAAGTTAAAGTGTTGCATTTGACTTGCAAAATGATTTTGCTCCCAGAGAAAATCATTTTGAATGTTAGAAAGCTTATTACTATATTAGTTAATCAAGATTATTTAAGAGGCATAAGAAACTCAAGTTCAGTACATTTAACTCATACTGTAACACCCTACAATAGTCAGATGAGGCTATATTTGCATATCTTTGAGTGGATTTGCTTGTCTGGAAATTGTCAATGTATATCAAAACCCAGAATTAAACAGAATAATCTAAAATAATGAAAACAGAAGTATAGGTCTTTCAACAGTAAATATTCAAGCCATGATATTTTATCTGTGAGGGCAATGAATATTGAATTTAACACATAAGATCAGATTTTTAAGGTGTAATAACTTCAAAAAGAAAATATGCCTAAGAAGTTTAAGAAAAACAAATGAGTTAATAAAATATCTAAATTGATTTTTTTTTTAGAAAAGCCAAAGTGAAATTTCAGGAATATCCTCTATTGTTAAGCTCCATGATGGCAGAAATTTGACCAAAAATTTTTTTTAAGTTATTCATAGCATCTAGGAGAATACCCAGTACACTGGGTAGTTAATAACTGTCTGTCAAATTGAATTTCAGTTGACATATTCTTAAATCTAAAATTTGGCTTGTTACTTTTAAAAAAAATCTTGAAATTTTGTCCTGAGTTGTGTATTTAATAAGAACTCAAAATTCATCAGTGAATCAATAAAAGATAGGAAACAGATGACAGTAGCACTCTTAGAAACTGGACAATTAGAAATGGCAGCTAAGATGAATGTTCCCTTCATTGTGCTATGTAAGAAGTACAACTTCCAAATCTTTGAATTGAAGAGTTTTTAATGAATAGGTTACATGACCCTCTTTCATCCATATCCTCTTTAAAGGAAGAACCCTGGTAGAATTGACACGCCTCTCTATCTCTACCTGGAGAAAGAATAATGGGATAGAATACAGAGAACAAAGAATGGGAGGGTAAATGGGTTGAATGAAGAAGCCTGAAAGAACACAAAGGAATCCTTGAAATAAGAACAATGGCACATGTGATCCATTTCAGTTACAGAAGCTGTATGTAAAGTTCTAAAAAAAAAGTTTAGGGATTCTAATTTTTAAAAACAGTGGTATTATCTAGCATCATTTGGTCATCTTCCATTTAAATGATCAAGAAATATTTTTCCACAAAATTCCTGTGACTTAATTTCTTGTTAAGACTTTAAATGTTCATCAACATACAAAAACAATAAAACAACGATAAGCATAATATTTAAAAGAAAAATATCAGCACAGATTTCAGAGCATAAGTTAACTTTGGGTCTCAAGAATGAATACTAATGTAGACTACTATTCGGCTGAGAAATCAAGTCTTTACTTATCTTCTCAATGGCTACGTTTTCAGTCATGGGTCACTTTGAAAGGAACAGGCAAATGTATTTTCAAAGTCACCATCTCAGTCCACAGAATGAAAAGAAATACCAAAATCAAAGATAACTAAAATAAAAATTTTCCTGATATTCAACTAGATATAATTGGTTCCTTTATTGAAGACTGTATCTTTCTTACAGAAAAGAAGATAGGCAGGTCTATTCTTTGTGACAAGTAACCATATTAAGATGTAAAAGCAGGGGAATAAATTCTTTTAAGTTTGATCCTTGGAGATAATTAAAATATATGAAATAAGGTAATCTCTAAGATGTTGAAGTTAACTTACATAGACAGTAAAGATAAAAAGAAAAGTGACTGTTTGTTTAAGCCTAAAACATAAGAACAGAATCAATCTATCTATCTATCTATCTATCTATCTATCTATCTATCTATCTATCTGTATTTTTAAGTTCAAGACTGGAATTTAGGATTCTAAGATTTGACTGTGTCAAAATGCTACTCATCTGTTTCAGGTATGATGTACTACCTGCCTGGTTGTAACCTTAAAAGCTTTCATTAATGCACACCTTTATGTTCAGGTTGCTGAATGAAATTACTGTAAGTTTTTGGACAAGCTTCCTGTAATGGTACAAAAAAGATCATGTGGAGAGACTGGAGAAAGAACTTCAAAAAGAGTTCATCTCTGAAAGAGTCTACCTACAGATTAGAAGTCTCAAGATTTGTTTGTTTATAGTAAGTTTCTGGGTACTCCTGCTAATGCAACACCAATTAAATTAAAACTAAATCAAATACAAGCAAATGTACTGAAAGTTTTAGGAATGCGCCATCTACTTTGCTAAATAATTTGCACTCCACATTCTGCAATTACATGAGCAAGCCATTGGTATAGAAATATTTAGCATGTTAGTTTCAAAAAAGAATGTAGATACATTCATAGAAATCAGTATATTATGATTTTTTGAAATAAAAGGAACCACATATAGCATTTATTTTTACCTTCAGTTTTGATAATAGGCTGAAGACTGCCTTGAATCACTTTAATTTTTGGTTCCACAACTTTGGTTATAATTTTAGTTGCTGAAAGTATAGAAAGTGGAATATGAATGATGTTTACATAAAAACAACCTGAATGAAGTTGTTCTTTTTCTTTTGGGGTAATAAGTTTATATGATAATAATTAGATATGGTAATGTGTTCAGGCAGTCAGATACAGGTAATATTCATGGTTCATAATTAATATCTTCTCATGTCCAGATGTTGAACTCTGAAGTCCAGTGACTTGGATGTGTTCCAGTGAAATAAATGCTCACTAAATGAGGAACTCTATCTAGAAATCTATAATTTTGAACTGCACCACTAATGCTCTTTACCTTCTTTTGTACTTCTTGAAAATATTGGCTGCATAGCAACAGAAGACAAATAAACATAATTAATTTCATGCAACTCATAATACCTTAAATTGCATTGTTGGATTTTTTTTCTCAATAAACAGAAGAAAAATTGAGAGGAGAAATATCTTAAAGTGTTTTTCATGCATTTGATAACAGCAACATTTAAAGAAAAATACAAAAAAATAGTTTAGAATATTTAAGATAAGAACACATTTCAGCCAGCCAGACAGAGCTCTATGCAACAAATATGATATGGTCAGCATGAAATCAGAGGAGAAAATGCGTTTAATTTTTTATTTCATCATAACCATTATTTTTTTAATTTAAAGGTATACATTTTAAATATATATTATCTACCCAAGTGAGATAAGAATGTGCAAAGTTAATTTAAAATCTCAGTCAACAATTTGGTTGACTTTGTCTATTCAAGTTAACTGGAAATGTGTCTCTGGAGTTATACAACCAGAGCTATTGGCCTTTTTCATTTTTACTTAGAAGGCTTAAAAGATGATTTCATAGGGTAATGGACTGTTCTAACGGTAACAATAATCACATGGTGTTGACATATTAGAGTGGAGATGTTAGCAAAATTTGAGTTTCTATTACAATCTCATCTGCTACTTCTGAAATGTTTTTTGTGTCAACGTTTATATCAATATAAGCCGCCTCAATAGGAACAATGTATGTTTAATCATATTCTGTCTTGACATCCAAATTATAAGCTCTAAAGTATATCAAATTTGTGCTCAATTACTGATTCCACAAGTTGTCCTGCTATAGAGGAACCTTTCCATGAAGGCCAAATATGCACAGATTTCTGCTGCTACTATCAAAGTGGATTAATTACTTTTACCTTAAATCTTTAATATCATAGTAGGGAGTTTGAGGTTTAGTTTGAAGATTTTGTTCATATTTTTGTTTCAATTTTGCTTTCTTAAGACTTAAATAGTTTTGACAGATTTGGCTAAGGATTTACTGATTTTTGTCTTCTCCACTTCAAATGTTCTATATTTGACAACTTATAACAAATAACATTTCCCCCATACAATTAAAAATGTACTATATTTGGGGGGCAAGAATAGTAAACAGGAAGGAGATTAAAGAAATTTCAGAGACAAGTCAACAGATGAACATAGAAGTAAGATCTTTGGTTTAATTAGTTTTACTTCTATTTGAAAATGCTTCTTAATAACAAGAGATTTATCCTGGAAAGAGCAAAAATCCAATATTGAAAGGTAAATCTCAGCTTTTTCAAGCCTTCTAAGTAGACTGTCAAGAGTCATTAAACTTGTTTAATTTTGTAATATGTGGTTTATACACTATGAGTGAGAACAAAGTGCAGTAGCTAGTAATTTTGGTTCATTATAAACAAAATATTGCCCTGACATATGGAAAGTGGTGGAACAGACATTGACAAAGTAGAAAAGATACAGGACCATCGTACAGGTACATGTCTTTGGTGGAGAAAGAAAACATGTCTGATGAATAGAGCTCATAAGGATTCTTGTTTGTTATAAAATATGTTTTTAATAAAATTGTATACTTCCAGTATGGAATTTCTACCATGCTGAATGATGACTGTGCTAATTAAATCCTTAAGACAGTGCTGAGCTGGTCTGATGCTGGGATTGCATGTTATCATCACAGAATTTAAACCAGTAAGAGCAGCAGACATTTTGTTTTGCTCCTCACTTTGGCTTTGTGATTACGTCACTGTACATCTGAAGAGAAAAGTACTTCTTTAAATAAATGGATGTTCATGATATGAAACAGATGTTCTAGCCAGAATAAATGTGGGAATTGAAATAAAGTTTTAACTGTGTTTACACTTTTGAGTACTCAGTGGTAGAGCCAAAACAAAATGAAAAAGAGTCTCTGCTTTGAAAGCTATAAGGAAAGAAAGAAAAAAGACAAAGGAAGAAAAAGTTACAAGAAGTAAATATTCAATGGGCATCATTTATGAAATATCCTTTGAAATATCCTTTGCCATTTTTAAGAAGTAGAGGCTTAATTTTGATAATCTGGTAGTGTCAGTGATAAATGAACCTGAAATCTCAAAACCTGAGATTCAGATTTTGTGTACCTTTGCCCAGTTTTGGATTGTGAGAGATTTTGAACCGTCATCTCATGAGCTTTAGGATTCCTTGGCATGCTTCCACTCTGTCTGTAGGTAACTCAGGGCTGAAGGGTGGAATGAGCATGTCCTTTAGCAATCCTGTTTCTCTGTCCACACAGCTGAATTTTCAAATAGCACTAGAGCACTTACTGGCTATCTTTTTCTTTTGAATTCTTTCTTTCTTTCTTTTTTTTTTTTAAAGAAATTCGGTCTCTGCCACGCTAGTATTTTATTTTACAGTCTTTCTCATCTCCTATCACTCCTGTTTTCCCCATAAATGGGAAGGTGCTTCATTGACATTAAAAAGGTAAGTCTGAGTGGCCTCTCCCAGACTTCAAGCCCTGTTTCAAGTAGAGAGTTGTCATTGTTTAGAATTCAAAATACCAGATTATCAATAGTCCTTATAAATACAAAGAGACAATTTTTTTTCATCTTGGAACTTATATGCAGTCAATACTCATCACATACTTACTATAGACAGTCATGGGGATTTCTTTGAAGGTGCTGCCACGAACAAACTGAAAATAAACGACTATATTCAGTAACATAAAATATGGTAGTTGCATTAAAAAAACATTGCACCACTTTAATTCTTGCTCAGGAAAAATAGTGAAGCTGTCCCTACACTTAATAGAAAGGAAATCCTTTCATAGTTCCTTGTTGTTATGTCAGAGACATAAAAAATAATTGGGTTTGTCACTCAGAGTTTTAAAATTATAGAATAATTAGTCCAAAGTTAAATATGTTTATTAAATATTATTAGATGCTTTCTGCTACTTTAAGCCCAGAAAGACAAAGGGGCAAAATACTCTTTTGCCTTTGATCTGTGATTACTGACAATGTTTTATCAGTAATTTCTTTATTTTTTCATTATATTTAGTAGCAAGAATATTTGATATATAAACATTTCATTTATATGCATATGTCTTATCTTCCCAATTAGACTGTAAACTTTTTGAATAAACAGCATCTGATTCAACTTAGTATTTTTCAGGACATTTAAGACACTAATTTTTTCCCAAATAGCTTTGAATAGATATTTATTGATCCAAACTATGAAGAGATTGTTGCTTTTTTATAGGTTGGCTTGTGGTACATAAGCAACAAAGAGCAATCCAAGCCCAGTGTATGCTTACTTATTAATACCTACATTTCTAGTCTCTCATGCTCAACCTGCAATATCTGTTCAACATATGAGAAATAAATACAATAGGATTTCTGTACCTTAATTTGGATGTATTTGATCAGTTTATTAAGGATTTCCAGAAGCTGATCATTTCCAACAGGTGTGTCTGTGAAAGGTAACATTAAATGAATGTCGGTATGTAAAATAAAAAATGTGAAAAAAGGCCATCAATGAGTTCAATAACTACCAACCTGCTGGGTAGAGGAGTTTATCTACAACATGAATGACACCATTTGTTGTCATGATGTCAGATTCTTTGGATTTCAGTTCATTCACCAGAAGGGTATCATTTACCTATCAAAACAAGGAGGTAAGGTCAATGAGAAATTTAACAAAGAATGGACATCTGGATCATTTAATAACAGATGGACACTTTAACAGATTCATTCTGGACAACTTACTCCTTTCACATAGATTTTGCTTCCTTGTGTGGTCTTCAGAATGTTAGTAACGCCAGGTTCAAATCCCTTTCCAATGAAAACTCCTGGGGTCAAGTGGTAAAGGATGATGTTTTGAAGAGCATTTTTGTCCCCTACGGGTCAAGATATATATTTGCTTAATAATATGTCATATTTTCTGACGTTTCAATAGTACTGAGGAAGAGAAACAAAACAGTTGTCTTTCTGTTTCCTGTGTTTTTTTTTCCTCATTATGTCATTGTTCTCTCAAAATAGTATCAATGCTATGTCAAAATGTTCAGTCATTTCATTCACTTCAACCCAAATATTACCCAAATGAATGGAGGAATCAAAATCAAATGAGTCCTGAAATTAGAACTATTTTCTTCTCTGCCGTGTATTTCTGTGTCCTTTAATAGCAACACAAAAGTAAGAAGTTTAAGAACATTAATGAATGATCCTCTGTACTTCCCAAGCTGAATTAGAGAAAACTAGAGCTTGCTATGAATACCAAAGAAGAGACATCTTCTTAAGTAGTAAGGAAGAAAAGCTTGAAGAACAACTGAGATCCAGAAATGAAAGGATAAATATCTGGCATCGACTTCTACTCACTGATCAGAATTTCCTTTTCTTCATTGGTCATTCCTTTGAAGGCTTCGTTGGTTGGAGCAAATAAGGTCCAGTCTCCAGGCTGCGTCAGGAGATCTCTCAAGTCTGCAGCTTCAAGTAGGCTAAGGAAGATGCTAAGCAGGAAGCAAGTGTATTTGTTAAGCCCGACTTAGCTTTGGGTAGGCTTATCCACAATACAAAGACTAGAATTTAATTTATATTGTAGAAAGAAAGAGAAACATCTTACATTTTCAAGTTTCAAAGACAGCTTTAGCTGTGAAGAAAGCTTCATCACGGAGAAATAATTAAAATGTACAGCATTACTTTTGAATTTTCCTCAACTGTTTTTATCTTATAAAACTTGTCAACATCACGTTTTATAATGAAATAGAAGAATTTTTTTCATTTAATATTCTATAAAATTCTATTTGCTAGTGTATATTTTCATTTTGTGTGTGTGTGTGTGTGTACACACACACTGTGTTGGGGATTGAACCCAGAATTTTATACATGTGAGGTGTGAGGCAAGAGCTCTGCCACTGAGCCCTATACTATTATTTTTAATAAACTTAATCATAAGAAAATTTCCAAGGAGTTGTTCAGTATATTTGATTTTTTTAAAATTCATCAATCATATAGTGTACCACATTAAATAACATTTAAAATATTGGACAAATTCTATTGTTAAATTGTGTGCATGTACAAATATATAACAACAAGTCCCATCAATATGTACAACTATATTGTACAAATATAAATGTGGAAAAACATTAATTTTGAAAATGTTTATATGGACTTGTTATTCTAAATTATATTCTTAGAAATACAGGAGACTGACTTCTTTTGGAGATTGTCAAATAAAAATATGCTGGTAGCTCTCATTCTTTTTTGGAGGTACAACTAATAAGCTTACCTAAAACGTTTATCTTGCTTTAGTTTTTCATGGAGGGATTTCTCTGCAGGCTGGATGATCTCTCGGAATATGTGAATGGCACCATTTCTTCCTTGCTTGCTTCCTCTCACCATGCATGAATTTTCAATGCAGATAGACTAACAGAGCAAAGAAAGATACACGATGTCCTTTCCATTGCTTGAAATTTTCCATTTGATATAGCTATGTGCTTACATTTTTGGATTGGCTCTTCTGAGAGGTCCCTTGACCCATGAAGCCAGAGAAAACAGTCTCTCTCCTCTGTTTTCAATGTCTTTCAATTCATGACTTCTAATGCTGTAAAGTTTTCTATACTAGTCAAATTATCCTAAACATCAGGCAGACAATTTTGTCAGTGAATTGCAAAAATTCCATACAATTTCACTCCTACTTTCCAAGTTCTATTTCCCTAGACCCTCTTTAGGTCAATATTAACCACACAGTTTTTTTACTTTAATGCCTCTTGTTATCTTCACAGGTATTTACTATATATTCTTGACTGTAAGATTCAATGAATTACAAGTCAAATCATTGATTCATTTATAGTTTCTTGAATAAATGTGATTTGTGAATATGTGTCATTCAAAGTGAAGTGTGTTTACTGTGTAATTTAAAAAGTGTGCCTCGAAATTATGGATCTAAGCTGCTGTGTCTAACTCAGTTATAGGTAATGCTTGATTTCCTTTGAGACATTTTTGTTGTAGCTGCAAACATTCCCTGGTTGGAAAGAGAAGAGTTCCACTGGTTGCACTGTAATTTTGATAAGAATTATTTCTAGAAATTTTCCTGTTGGTAAATGCATATTAGAATCTTTAGTATAGAGTCCAGAAATTTCTATGTATCTATAAAAATTTATCTTGACAGTTGTTAAAAAAGATTTCATTCTTGAATGATGTTTACTATAAAACATTATTCCATATTTTTTATTCTATATACAAAAATCCTTGTAAATTATAAAGTACTCTACATTATTTAAGGGTGGCTTTTGGTGCTTTCTTAGTATTTAAAATAATTTGATTTTTAGAACATAAAGTCATTTATTTAATAAAACAAATGGAAATTATCAGAGTTATTAATACATAGGTCTTTTGGTGTATTTTCATTACAAATTTTTTTTACCCATTTCCTGATTTTCCTATGAATATTTACTATTAAAATTGATTTCATAAAATTCTGGGAAACATTTGTTATAACTACGTCCTTTTGACCACATGCAAGTCATTTGATATTTAGGCCAATGTAGATTTTGATATTGTTCTGATTCACTTACTGTGCGATACACAAAGACTCTCAGTTGTTTGCCTCCAATGGTCTCGAGTATCTGTCCATTGTAAAGCTCATTAAGGCCAACTTTTACTTTCAATATGTGATTCTGCAGAATTAATTTAAGAAGGCGCTGATCCATGCTCAGAGTGTCATCTATAAATAAATTCATTAAGAAAAATCATTATTTTATGTGGAAAACATTTCTGTTTCTCCTGAAATGGATAACTTCTAATACTATTAATGTGGATCCTATATAGTCATTATTTTAGTTGACTAAATGTGCAAAGCAAGCAATTCAATTACCAAGTAGAGACTCTATGGCCTATTGCATCAAAAGATTATTAATGTGGTTCTAAGCAGTTCAGACATGAGCTTCATGGCTGCAAAGGCTGCATACATTTTTGGTGGTCATTGTACAAAGCTAAACCCTTATAGTGGCCAAAGTTTTTCTGACAGTTAGATATCCATTAGTCATATGAATGATTATTAATGAATTATTTGTAAATCCATTGTCTTTTAAAAAAATATTTGTACTAGGGCAGTTTACCACTGAACTACATTACCAGTCCCCCCTCCTTTTTTTTTTAACTTTGAGACAGGATTGCTAAGTTGCTGAAGCTAGCCTTGAACTTGTCATACTTCTGCCTCAGCCTCCTGAGTGGCTGGGATTTTAGGAATACACCACTGCACCTGATTGTAAATTGATATTTATTTTGGGAAGAAAAATCACAGAATATAAACTCTTATAAAAATGTGTCAATGTCAAAACATATGGGCATCATTATTACAAAGGAAGTGGAAAAGTAATATATCTAGGAATTATATTTTTTTCTAATTAATAATTTTCTACATTATAATTTACTAGTTGAAAAAATATCAAAAGTGCAACTTTTAAATTACTAAATTTTGCCTAACAATTTAAATATTTCTTCATGAAATCATTTTTCTGAAAAAGTGGCCGTTTCCATTAATCTAAACATTGTTGTTAAATAACAACCACTAGGTGAAAAACGTATAATATTTCACACCATGATATAGAAGTGCATAATAGTCTCTTATTTGTGTTTATTCATAATCTGACAGCCATGCTTTCCAAATTCTGGGATGCAAAAGACATCAATTTATCTCTAAATATTTTTATGTTGGTGTCAAATAAACAAATAATGTGTCATTTTCTTTAATCTATTAATGCATCCTTATGTGTACTGAGAATGTTATTAGATTCACAGATTAACTGAATACTTTATATCAAAGCTTCCATTTCCTGCATGCTGTTATCTATCATAATGAAATGTTTTGAAGTGAAGAATTTTTTACTTTAGACAGTGTAGAGCTAACATGTTGTATGTGTAACCAATATAAAAACTAATCAGCATCTCACATGTATTATTTGTTATTGCAAATCATGGTGAAGCAGTAGAAAGGTCTATGGGGGAGGGAGAAGAGCAAGAACAACAGTGTCCAGTACATACCAGAAAAGGCATTGTTCACAGGTGCCAACAAAGTGTACTCTCCATCTGGCTTCAGAGAGGATGCCAAGCCTAATTGGGCCACAAGGTCTGTGAAAGTGGTTTGCTGTTTTCCAGCCAGCTCAATAACTTGTTTGGCTGTAAAATAAACCATCAGCATCCCAACAATGTCATCATTGTTATTATCATTGTAACGAGATTAGTAAATCAATTCTTGGCTCTTTTCTAATATTGCAAGCTATTTACTGCAATGCCAATCTAGTAAGACATCCAGTCCTTTCCTAGTAAGAAGGTTCTAATTTCCATTTGGGGGGTTGATAACCACAAAGAATTTCAGAAGTGAATTTTCTTCCTGACTTCCTACAACAGTTTCTTTGATTCTCTATTGCTCAATGCTCATCTTGTTCTCCCCTTGAAAGTCCAACAGTTTTTCTGTTTATCCAAAGCTGACCATTTAGTTATACCTTTCCTTTTGTTTCAAAGAAAAACCTGGCTCAGTGAGGGCCCTTACAAATATTGGATGTCAGACACCCTGGAATGGCAAAGTCCCGTTCATGGAATGCCCACGACTACTCATCTACTTACTTGGTACTTGGCTAGCTGGATCTTCATTTTGTTTGTGCTTCTTATGCCATTCTTTATGCTGCATGTTTATTTTTCATGAACTTACTCTTACTTTTATTTTTTTGTATCATGGATTGAACCCAGGGGCACTCAACCACTGAGCCATATCCTTATTCCCTATTTTGTATTTTATTTAGAGACAGGGTCTCACTGATTTGCTTAGCACCTCGCTGTTGCTGAGGCTGGCTTTGAACTTGTGATCCTCCTACCTCAGCTTCCCAAGCTGCTTCTTACTCATTTTTCTTGAGGAATAATACTAAGTTAAAAAAAAATATCATGAAACCGATGCTTACCAGAATCAGGAATGAGGACCTCATCGATCAAATGAATCACACCATTATTTGTTACAATATCTTTTTTGTTCACCATTTTGACTCCGTTTATTGTTATGCTGTCTCCTTCACATCCTATCTCAATTGTATTTCCTTCCAAGGTCTCAAACACAGCTCCTCCCGTAATAGCCTCAGAACATTGGAGGGTATTCAAAATGTGGTACTTCATGAGAGCTGGAGGGCAAAATAAAAAAGCAAGCGCTCATATCAAAGGAAATAGCATTTGACCCTTAAAATATGTGCTTCAGAGTGGAATTAAATATGCCTAAGAAATAGAACACAAATGTAAGCCCTAAGGATTGACTGCAGATTTTAAAATCTTTAACTGTTTATGTTTTTAGGAACATAAACATATACAGTAGGGAGAAGAGAAAATCAGCTTCAGAAATGATTTTTGTGGTACTAGAAAGTGTGGTAGATTTCGTTCCAACTGTCATAAGAAAGTAATTCTTGATGTGAAGGCGAGAAAAAAAAATCAGCCCTTTTGGAAGACTTGTGAAGTTATTTGTTAGTGATATCTTTGCTGAAATACCCAGGCAGCATCTGGTATGAGCTGCTCCCAGTAGAATGTCTTTCCTTAATTTGTTATGAGGTTGATGGGGGCTGAGGAGAAGACAAATAATTCCCTCAAGACAACATCCAGGAAGTTCCAAAATAAAAATGATTTCCTGAAGGATATCTAGAGCAATCTATACTTCAACTATGTTGACCTCAAAATTCCTCATCTTAAATCCATTAAATGTATTTTGGGATAAGCTGGGTGTATGGAATATGCTAGCACCATGTATACTCTTTTTGACCACAGAAAGGACAACTGGAAAGAAACCAAATTCTTCTGGGTGTCAATACGTAGTGACCCAGTAATTTTCTCAGCTCAAATATACCTTTTAGCATACACTTAGAATTAAAAGCACAACATAATGTGTGTGTGTGTGTGTGTGTGTGTGTATAAATGAAAGTTGATGATCTAATATTTCTTTTCAACACTGGCCAAGCTTTCTTTTTGTCTGCTACTTATTTACTTGAAAGCAGCACAAAAGGCTATAACCTTCATGAAAGCAGCACAAGAGGATGTAACCTTAAAGACACTTTTTATTATTTAAGAATTTTATTCTGCCTATGCTTTCAGGAACTTTTCAAAAAATATTATATAGCGCACCTCAGAATAAAATGTTTCTTTGTCTTTTCTTATCAAACTTTATATTACTGGCAAGAACAATTTTTTTTTTTTTTACTTTTTATTTTGTTGCCTTCCCAGAGTTCTGGGGGACTTTTCAGAGAGGAATGTGGTACCTTCAAAAGCCACTTTGTCTCCCATGATCCTTTCTAGGACACCTCGTGGGAGTTTCTCAAAAGCCTCATTGGTAGGAGCAAAGAGGGTGAAGTGACCATCTCTTCCAAGGGCCTCCAGTAAGTCAGATGTAATGGCAGCTGCCTGAAACATAAATGTGTATTTCGGAGGATTACACATTGCAAAGGTCTACCAGAGGAAAATTACAACACACTTAGACTAGGCTGACATGAGGGAGTTGATTTCTTCACTTAAGAAGTTTGTTCTTGGTAGACCTTTAAAACATTACTTTTGGCTCAACCAGTTATATCTATTCCAACTTTCTTCAAACAGTGTCTGCCAGAATGGAATTCTGCCAGTGTTTGTGTGACTATAGCAATATCCAGAAGTACATACAATAACTGAGATGGACACAGTCTAAATGCACTTAATACAATACAGTCACAGAACTAATCATTCTTTATCAATCATGTCCACATTAATATTACTTCATATGAGATGATTTCTCCTGCATAAAATGAAAACAGTTTAATTTCATGAAATATAGTTACATTTCTGCCAGATTTGTTTAATAGCTTTTTTACTGTTGTTGAATTTTGACAGGGAAGGAGGAGGGATTTCAATGATCCAAAAGAATCTGCTCTTGTACTTACTCTAAAAGATGAAAGGTCATCTTCCGCTTCAATGAAGTCTTGAATTGAAGTACCAATTTGTGTAAGGACACGGTCAATGACGTGTACAACACCATTTGTGGCAATCTGGTTCCCATGGATGATTCGAGCACAGTTAACGGTGACAACCTATAATTATTTGGGAATATCAGAAAACTGAAATCAGAGTCATCCACTGACCACTGAGACCACAAGCCCACTTATAGGTTTCATTTATTCGATTATGTGGAAGATGAAGGGGCCTATACTCTGAATGTAACTGCTGTGGAAGAACAAAATATTTAAAAAACCTAACTGAAAGAGAAAATAGAACCAGTTCAGAACCCGGGTTAGTTACACATCTTGTATCTGGAAACATAAGGCAAAGCAAAACATTTTTTAAAATTTAAATTATTGCTTATTTTCTCTTTCATACATATAGCTAAATTATTTCTAATGGAGGTCAATGAATTATATAAAGAAATCTAATTAGTCTTAAAATAAGTTCTGAGAAAATGAAACAAAACATTATTGCAAAAATATAGCCATTTCTATTATAATGACTACCTAAGTTTTGTTTATCACTAACTCATTTTGTCCCTGGGAATGTAACCATAGGAAAATTATATAGCCCTGTTGGCAGCTTCCCCTAAAGTCTATCCAAACACACAAGGATCTCAATGGCATCATAGCCAGAGAGTAATAAAAGAACACCCATTCTCTGGTATCCTTTTTGCTATCTATAAAAATATTTTAAACATATCAACTACTAAATTCTCCTATTTTATGAAATCTAAGTTGACTTGTTAATGAACTGCCAATGTATTTTATGTTTTATTATCATTAGTAGAAAATAGTAACTGGATTGAAAATTTACATGCCATAGATCTAAGGAAAGTTATGGTGCATGCATTTATATTATTCTCACTAACATTTTACTATTTCTTTTAATTTAATATAAAATGTACAGACAAGATTAAGAGAGACATGGCCCAGAAATCCACTTTATTTATAATTGAAACTTACCCCATTAGGATAATGGTTAATGAAAAGCCCCAAGTTGTTGTACATCGAAGGGATAACCATGCCATTTTTTAAGTCCTTGGTCAACATTCTCTTATTAACCATGTGGCTATGCAAAGCATTCAACAATTCAACATTTACATTGTTCTCCAAACCTCTACGGATATCCTAGGAAAGATTGAAATGATAGAAATTTATTTTATTGTGGTTCATTATTGAAATTCTTATGATCACTTCTTACTCTCATTACTTTCTTATTGCATTATCAATTGGTTACACAAAAGTGAAATAAGTAACTTGACATTACAATCTTATTAAGAAATTTTATAGGTACAAATATTCAGTTAAGGATCCTGAATCTGATAGAGTGCTTGTGTATTTTTAGAGACAAAACACAAATTTTAAGTGAATATGCTAATGAAGAAACAATCATGATATAAATTGAAGACCTAATGGGAATTATCAGATATTTAAAATACTTTAGGTGGGTAAAACTCAAAATGACATTATATTTGTATTCAATACGTGATTTTTAATAAGGATTTTATTTATTATATAACAAATTCAAGAATTTGACCCTCCTCTACCATTTAATCTATTGCACTGGAATTGATGTTAAAGGAAATACAATAAAGTAAAATCTCAACCTCAATGGGACTTATATTACAATAGGTGAAGATAATTATAGCTATATTTAGTATATAAGGAAAAATGTTTTCAGGGGTCCAGTGAGAAATGCCACTGTTCTTAAAGTGATTTGGAGAGAGACATGGAAGAAAAGATGAGACTTGTTGGTCATTCTGAGCTCAGCAGCTAACAGAAGGTCAATATTGAGAGCAAGGTCCAGTTTCGTTAACATACTTTTATGTTTCCCAGATAATATTAAGACATTTAGAAATGCTTGATAATAAAAAGGATTTTAATGTCTGAATAAGGACATTAAAGGGGTAACCATGCCATTTTTTAAACTGGCAATGCGGAACTACTGAAAAATTTTGACTTTGGAATTAGAACTAGGCTTTAGGAAGGTCAATCTTGAGGGAAGGCACAGCAGAAATTAGAGTATTAGTTATGAGGATTACTTCAGATGGAAAATAAGATGTGGTTGATTGATAGTAGAATTGGAAGGAGGAGAGGTAAAGATGATTTATGAGTTTCAAGTCTGAACCTTGAGATTGGTACTGTCAATTATGGGGAATAGGCAGCCAGAAAGCAAGTATTTATGATAGAGAGGAAAAAAAAATGGCATATGTTTTGGATATTTTCTGTTTAAATATGCAAATGGTATAACCAAGAAAAAATATTGAGAGTAATATTAGAAATACTCTACTGGTGTTCCAAGGAGAAACTAACACTGGAAACACAGATTTCTTGGCAATGATCTATAGTGAGTTGGAGTCATCAGAAGTTCAGATAAAGGGCAGAGTTCAGTTCCTAGAAAAGGTTTTTATAAGTTCCATTCTTAAGGCAAGGAAGAAAAGGAATCGTCAACAGGAAATAAAGAGGTGGTTGTGACGTGGAGAAGGACCTCAAGAGAGCCTTCTATAATCCAAACAGCCTCAGCTCTTGTAGCAAGACAACAGCTATGAGTACATACCTCCATTTTAGTTAAGTATATTTGACTATAGTAGGAATTATCAACTCATTTTCCTATCAAATAGAAGGTAAGGGTATACTTCTATTTCAATTTTACAAATTTAAAAACGGAATCATAACCCAAAAGTTGTAAATTAGACTGTGTACGAAGTGTCCTCTCAGTTCATTCTTGTTTTCTCTTTGTATGGATCAATCTGTAAGTCTGCTGGGGAATCAATTCCATTTATTAATGTATGAAAATAAATACCTCCTCTCAGTGACTCAATCTTTTCTATATCCTCATATATGTCCAATAGAAAATATATATTTTATTAATATTTAAGTTAGTTAAAATGAAATAATAACAGCAAAAAAAATTTAAAAAATGAATTACAGGATCCAAGTTGTCCCAAGCCTCATTACTCGGTGCGAAGTAAGTGAATGATCCTTTTCCTTCGATCTCTTCTCTTAGTCTTGAGACATCAGAATAATGCTGGGTGGTGGTGGCTCCTACTATGCCCAGTGTGCCATAAACATGGTCAATAGGCATAACTGAAATAGTCAAGAAATGAGTAAGTACTCAGGTTAATATTTCCAGAACATTGTTTCACAATCAATTAATCTTTTCACTAAGTTCCCCAATGTATTTAATGAATAATTTTAGAAATAAGTTCCATGAATTCTCAATTTTACATGAATATTATCTTTTGCATGCTAAATAATAAAATATTATTTGAAAGTATTATTTCATGTATCCATTGTGTTGATGGAAAATGGTTTTTAAACTATTTTCTTGGATTAACATTTAGTCTATTTGGGTTTCATTCTTGCTATGCTATATCAGTAATAGCTCAATCATAATTATCAGAACATATCTGATGATTTTATTGAAAAAAGATGCTCTTCACTTTCTACTAAGAATGGAAAAGATAATAATTTCTAAAATGTTGGTTTGAAGCTCTAAACAGTATGATATTGTTATTTAAATCTACAATTTTTATAGTTTAGGGCCACTAAAAGACCCACTTGTCTTCATGATAATTTCAGTTAGGGGACAGAACAAAGTAACTAATGCTTTCCTGAATTTCAGAAGAAAGATTCATGTATGAACATAAACCCAACAAGATTTGTTTAGTAATATGTAGTTAACTTACTTTTCTGACACTATGTGATTTGAAAATTATTATAATTTAGATGTTATCATAGAAAAATGGTTATTACATTTGTGAAGATCCCAAGAAGAGGTGACAAAATTAGTAAATTAAAGCATAAAACCAGGATCTAAAAAGCTCTCAAGCAAAGTGGAAGAACTGAGTCAAAATGAATAAAGTTATATTTAACAGGGTTCTATGTTAGTTCTATGCCTAAACTGAAAAAATAAACCCTAGGGAGACTTGTCTTACTCATGTAAAATAACCTGGAATTATTCTTAATTGATCACATATTCATTCTGTGCTAATCATATGTTATGAGTCACCGATGACTTGAGCTGACATGCAGGGTCTTGGAAGATGAGGTGCTTGTCTTGGTATTCTCCCCACATGGAGATCCACCTGGACTGAATGCAGTTCCAAAGTAGTATCCTGCAGTCCATGGGTCCCAGTTCTTTAAGGTAACATGAAACTTTGGAGCTCTCACCCTCATGTGTATCAACCTATAGACAATCTATAGTGCAGAGTTTATGTACATTAAAGGATGAGTATTATTAACTCAGAGAACATGTTTTTTTAGAAAGAGAGGACTGCTAGAGGAATAATGTGATGATTGTAAGTAAATATCTGACTGTCAGACATTTCAAAGAAAAAATAGATGAACTATGTTTACTCTAGTTGGCAGTTATTAGCAACTAATTTTCCCTTTAAAGAACATTATGAAGTCAAAGATTTTCAACTACAGAAGATGTTGCCTTGCTAAGCAATAAGTGTCATGTTTCTAAACAAGTTCCCAAAGGGGATTTTTGTACTTCAGGGGATGTTTAATTAAATTAATGACTAGTTTCTATTATATTGTCCAGTATCCAGTCCATGAGAAGAATATTCTACTATTATATTTCTATGATAAATTCATCATTAGCACAAAGATATGGATAACATATGTTGGTTTAATAATGGTGCTAAGTAAACACACATCATATCTCTCTCTCTCTCTCTCTCTCTCTCTCTCTCTCTTTCTTTCTTTCTTTTTTTTTAATTTTCTGGTGCTAGATTTGAATCTGAGACTTTGGGGATGTGAAGCATGTAGTTTTCCAACTGAGCTATATCTCCAGCCCAATGTACCACTTTTCCAAAAGGTTTCTCAAATGTTTCTTTCTTGCAGAAGGCAGATTCCTCATTTAATTCATTATAATTAATTTAGAATTTACCTGCTGGGCAGCCTTTCATTCCTTCCATTCTCATGTAACCAGGGCAACATTCATATAACACTGTCCTGTGCATTGGAAGAAAATTAATATTAAAATAGAGAACTGCATAGGATATATTGTGATGTAATCTTGGCAAAATATGTCACTGTCACAAATTGAGTCTAGAAACAACAACCCCTGCACCAATATATGTATATTAATATGACTGTTCCCTACAGTCTCATTGCACTGTGGAAAAGTCTGCAATCTTGATTCAAAAGAACAAAATTTGTGACCCGGTTTTACTACTTGGTAGATATATGACCTCAGGCAAATCATTTGATAAATTAGCACTGCGGTTTCCCCAGATATTTAACATGGACATGGTAGCAACAATACTTACTCACAAGGTAGTTGTGAATCTCAAAAGTGATTTTGGAATAATTTTGTATACTACAACCAATTAAAAATGTTCATTAGTATAAGGTTCATAGAAACAATAGAAAAACTATATATTAACCCATTCTGATCCATAAAAGTCCACCTCTTTTCTAACTAGAATAAATAATGCTATTGTTTGGTTTGAATTGTCAGAGATATTAATCTGATCATGGCAAACATAATCTTTAAAATCTTTTATTTATTTTTATTTTTGTCAAATTTGAAAACACAATATAAATATTTTTTTAAGTTGCTAGAATACAATATTCATGAAAATGTTTCCCTGTTCAAAGTTTACAAAGTGTGCTACTTTCTATAGTAATATTAAGGCAAAATATAGAAATTTCAACCAAAAATGTACCCCAAATAACTTTATCTAATTTTCTATACTTTGAGATAAAATAATACATTTAAGTTATCTAATTATTTTCATTATTTCCACTTTGTTAATGATTAATCCTGATTTTCATCTTATTTAGGGCATTTTCTGGACTTTTTCATGTTAGCCAAGATGGTATTTTTTAATTAAAATTTTACCTAATGTCTTATATTTTCTTCTAGTAGCAATGTAAAGAGGAATGTATCAAAGAGCAATTTAAAATAGATTATGACAAGGGAAATAAATACCATTTTATAATTTTTAATTGGAAATTATTTATCATATGGATTAAGAAAATTATTTGAAGATTATTTTGCAGTGTAATGATTAAATATAAATTAGCTAATTCAGACACTAATTATTTATTTTCATCTAGTATGAAAATTGTACTAAGTAAGTAAAAAGGACTGATAGAATTTGGACATACATAGTAGAATTTTTGGCAAATGTAAGAATAAAAAACTTAGTATGATAAAAATCATGATTGGAAATTTTCATGAAGTCAATTTTTAATAACAGAAGAGACCATCTTATACAACTGAAAAAATATAAACATAAATTGAAGAAAAGTTCACTAATTAATTACCCATTATTTGTATTATTTGTGAACTTGGGTTCCTATTTCTCTATTTTGTTAATTAAAAGTTTCTAAGGGGTCGGGGATATAGCTCAGATGGTAGAGTGCTTGCTTCGCATGCACAAGGCCCTTGGTTCAAACCCCAGCACCACCAAAGGAAAAATTTTTTTTTCTAGTATAGAATATGAACTGAAGAAAAATAAAAAAAAAAAAAAAGAAAAAAAAAAAAGGAAAATGCTTATCTCAAATTACTAATTTTAATATTCTTTCAAGAATAAGTGGTATGGGGAAAATATGTGAACTGGGTGGTAATCTTATGAAAATCTTAATATGGTCTATGAAAATGATTTATTTACATGGGTCTCTGTATAAATAAAAGTAAATATTGGGATGTCAAGGGGTTGATTAAATTTGCTTATACTTTATATTTAACTCATATTGTATAGAGTAAAATAATGAGATACAGATGTGCTTAGTCTAGAGGCTTGAAGAAAATAGTGAATAGAAAAGAAAATTAACATAACAAAAATTTCTACAACACAGGCTAAAAAACCCAAAGATCTGCCCTAGTGTAGAAAATTAATGAACCAGATGGGAAAATTTTTCCAAAACAGTTGAATTTAATTTTAGTAGATAGTTTAACAACATGATTATCTGAGTAGATATTTTTGAAACAAAAAGGTGTTTTTTTGTTGTTGTTGTTTTTTCCCAAAAGAACATTTATACTACATAAAACTCAATGTTCCCATATGGTCAGTGGGATAAGGGAGGAGAAAAGAAAATATTACTATGCACAACTTGGAACACAGGAAATTTATCTTCCTATACTGAATAGTATTTAAAATGTCATGGAATGCCAACTTAAAATGTCACTGACATTCTATAAAGAGTGTCTAGAGAATAATTTATTACAGAACCAATATATACTGTGGCCAGTATCTTAAACCCAGGAAGTTTATGCTCTTCATTAGACTTGTCAGTTAACTCCCCCCAAATTCCCCAAACAACTGTTCAATCAGAAGGTAAACATTTTTCTCAAATGATACATAAAGTCTTAAAGATGTCTCTGGAAATTGGAGCCAAACAAGCAGATGGCAAACCAGTCATTCTTCTTGTCAATCTTATTGATTTCTCAGGTTATATGGAACTAGCATTTGCATTTATTTCAGGGCACAGATGTAAATGTATTTGTGCAAATGAAGCTTCTTGAGGGAAATTAGCTAATGTATTTGGACAAAGGAGACACTGTTACATTTCTGGTGAAAGGTCAGGCTTCAAAGCAAGATTCTTCTCTCTCAATGGAAAGCAAGAAAGAGTCTTGGCTTTTGTTCTTTATAAATTTTGGCATCTTTAATATATTTACATGATTAAAGTAAGGCTATAGTACACTTACTAAACTTCCAGGAAAGATGTAATAAAGATTTTCCTTAAATATACAGATTTTCCTTTCTTTCCTAGTTAGTGTGCATTCTAAATATGTCTTATGATGTCCAAGAACACAAAAAACAAAGAAAATTCAGAGCTTTAGAGTTCCCAAGGAGGGTCTGGCTTGCAGCCTGGGGGAGGAAGATCATTGTAAACACTAACTTCCATTATAATTGTGTGAATGACTCACACATCTAACAGATGTCTCCAGCCTAAGAGCAATAACTTCTAGGTCAAAAAATAACATCCAGTTGAGACTCTATTAAGACAATGAACAGGAAACTAGTAGCCAAATCCTGTGGTGTTCTAGACTTGATCACCATGGGGAGATGATATAGTACAGTTAAGGTCATATCCTTGTGTAAAGGAATTTTGCTTGGACATAAAGATAACCCTTTCCATTTCAAGTGGACATCTTGTCGCAATTGTTTTTCCCATCCACATACACACATTTATTTAAGATAGTTTAAGAACAACTTACATTAGGAGTTATTGTTACACATTTCATCATCTTATCATCTCAGAAACTCTATAACAAAGGTAGAAACCAATGTTCCACAAGAAAAAGATTCAGAAAGTTAAGTGATTCCATATTAATATTTGAACCAATAGTGTTGGGTTATAAATAATTTTTAACCAAATTTTCCACTCTATTTAGGGTAATTGAATTTTAACATGATGTGCTAAGCAGGTTCTTTAGGTATCTTGGTTCTCACTAAAGGTGTGTTCTACATTTACAGAAGCACAGAAGAGCTATTTCCAGTATTTTCTTGACTAAGGACAGCATCAAAGCCCCCCGCCCTTTTTTTCACTTAGTAATTTATCCTGCCCATTAACCTGCTTCTTAATTGTAAAATGATGACTTGGGACCACACAAGTAGTTCTTAAACTTTATACATCAAGAATTTTCTTCCTATCACTATTTATGATATAATAAACCAAGAAGCATGTCTACTAAGCGATAAATAATGTTTTTTAAAAAATTAACTTAATCAGTGAAATATATACATAAGAGAGTAATTTTTTACTGTTGAAGGATTAAATGTAGTAATGCACTTCCCTCAGCTTTGTAGACCTTGAGGATCTGGCAGCTTGAGCTAGGAATCCATAGATTAAATGAAGAAATGAAACTTAAGTCCTTTCCAACTTTAAGCCTTCATAAAAACTCAGGTAAAGTGGAGCTCTTTAGATAATTTATAAATAACTGAAGGCACACATTAATTTTTGCTTCAAAACTCTTATGATTTCAATCACTTTGTTCTTGTATTTTATTTATTGATTTATTTTGCAGTAATGAGGATTGAACCCAGGGGAGCTCTACCACTGAGACACATACCGAATGGTTCTAATCTTTTCTTTTTTTCATTTTTTATTTTGAGACAAGGTCTCTCCTGGTTGCAGCGACTGACCTTGAGATGGTATTCTCCTGCCTCAGCCTCCTGAGGGATTACAAGTGTGCACTGTCACACCTGGCTATGATCTACTTACTTTGATAAGATATGGAAACTGAGGCATGGAGACTAACTTACTTGCCTAAGATAAAAGAGGTCAAAATAACAAAGAGAATTAAAAAGGAGTAGAAACAATGGTTAGTTTCTCATGCTGATTTCTATAACAAATGACATTGCTGTGCTTTTCTCCTCCTCTTGGCCTCTAGGACGTGTGAATTCAGGGAGAAATCTGAGTTCCATGTGTAATAGTGGAGATGCAGAAAAAGTTTCTTTATATATATATATAAACTTTCTATATATATGGCAAGATATATATATATCTTGCCATGTCTTTAAAAAACTCAAAATTTGGATAGTTTGTTTCAAGAATGGTGTGCATACCCAAGAGAAGGTATGCTCACTGCCATGTTGTCTTTAAAAGGGGCAAATGATGAAAAAGAAGAGACTCACGTTTTCTTTCCACAGATGGCACCTTGATACCAGTTCTTACAAGAGCTGAAGTATTTCTTTTTTGTGCCTAAAATCTGTTGAAGGGCGCAGACATTTGGGCTGGAAGATAGAGAAAAGGAAAAAGAGTTTAATGGTATTTCATAGTTACATGTAGGTCAGATGGTTTAAAAAAAAAAAAAAGGTCAAGACATGGATTTGATAGTCAAAGATATGACTTAAGCCTGGTCCAAGTCCAACTCTTGATCCAATTCTACGAAATCACTGGAAAAACTGAAGCCAGTAGGGGGGCGGGGGGGGGGGGGAGAGAGAGAGAGAGAGAGAGAGAGAGAGAGAGACAGACAGACAGACATCTCAGAGTCTCAGAGTAAAATACCACTATTTTAAAAAGTCACCCTAATAGGATACTCAAACAGAATTAAGTGTAACATAATTCTGTTATTATGTGTCTTATTATTTTCAACAACGGATAATCCACTGACAGCTTTAGACCCAAAGTGTTGATTTGGGGGATGAGGGTGTGCTTAAGACTCTCTGGGACAATGAGAGATCAGAGAATAAAAGGGGCTAAGTTTTCCTTTGTACAAAGACATTTTACTCTGTAATTTTCTAGGTAATTACAGAAGTAAATTAGTACTAAAAATAACTTTTAAACAATGTGGTTGAGTAAAGGAAAAATGTATTTATTTTGTGTGGAAGTAATAGATTTAAATCTTCTCAGCCACAATTTTGTTTTATTTTTTTAACCTCTCATAGAAATGTAATTTTTATTCCACTGTAAGGCAAAGAAACTTTGGAACATTATGAAAAAAAAATCCCTGTGATGCACAGGAAGCAGGGCCAAGATCCCCATTAAAATAAGAAAAAAAAAAAGATAAACAGTTAAGTTACTAAATTATGTCTACTATTATGTTTAATAAGTTAATAAGTTTTAAAATGCTATTTTATAGTTGCATCCATCCTATCAAATAAAAAATACTTCAAGGAGTTCAGAGAACTAGTTACATTAATCAGTACTTAATTTTCATTTAAATTTCATAATTTAAATGAAATTTGCTCTAACATCGCATTCGATATTTCAAAGCTCTTCACATAATGGTAGCCTCTACAGAGACTTTAATTTTGAAAGGAAATAAAAACACAAATGAAATACTAAAGAAATGTCCTGTTAAACTTTGTTCATTAGACTCAAATTACATATTGTCTCTTAAGAAGTAATTACACTCTTATTTGGACAGTAATTCTTTTAAAAGTTTAGAATGCATACATAAATCACAGAATACTCAAATTTCCCTTTTCTTATCACTTTATAAATAGAAAGAAAACACCCCAAAATTTATACATATATGCACATTTTATGTATACTTGCACATATTACAAGCTAAAGGAAAAAAAAAAAGTTCATAAAACCAAACCACTGACTTACCCCTGATCCCGGCCCCTGATTCGGCTGTGAGCCAAAACTTTGTCATAATAACCGTTGGTGTCTGCAGGGTTAACAGCAAAGAGCAGGAAGAGAGAAAATATGGGTAAGGAAAGAATCATTTTTAGTCTCTCCATTGCAGTTAGTCCACGAAGAGAACTGGCAGTGGGCTTTGGAGAGCTCAGAGTTTATATACATGTCAGGGTTGTGGGAGGGAGCAGTGTATCAACCTGAGAATCTGAACTCTCTCCAAGAAGCATCAGCAACTTCAAGTTGCCAGCAAAAAAATCTGTTTGGGTTAGTTATATTTACTGAGTACAGTGAACTCCTTTATCTTCTCATAATAAGGAAGATATTTACTTTAATTACATGAAGAACTGACTCATTGAATGTTCATATTTCAGTTTTGTTCTTTTGTACTTTAGAGGGATTTTTATTGAAAATTATTTTGTCTGTAGTTTTAAGGACTACTCTGCCATCTATCCCATTCAGAGCATATGTCCATGTACTCAATGAAGTGATTATTTGATCTTATCACAGTTGTCACCTTTAGTCCACATCAGAACTATAAGGTTATTAGTTTTCATCAGAAAAAATGATAGTAATCTTGATCATTGCTGAGGGGTAATGGGCGTGGAATTAAAAACAAATTCTGGATAGATTTATGACTTACATAAAATATGAAATCAGAATTCTAACTTGCTGACAAAGCATGTGGGGAGAAGCCACATTTTCTTTGCAGTCTTACTAACCAAGGGAGGTGATTCCCATTTCCTTTCTTTTTTTCAAATATCAAAGAATATATAGAATTTATATGAATCTACTTTCGGCAAGTTTCCCTAAACTTTTTGAAATGAACAGAAAGGGGGAGAAACATTTGCACTGTATGGCTTTTTCATTATATGCCTCACATGATGTTGAAGATCTCCAGGCAGCACATCTTCTGATAATTACTGGACAAAAGCTTCCCCTCTTGGAAACAAGCATTACTAATCCAAAAGTAATGGAATAATTAAATACATATTAGGAAATAGGGCCACTGCCAAGATTATTTTTCCTCTGATTTTAACAAGAGTCACTAAAGTCTCTTAACATTACACTATGTGATTCCCAGCCAAGGGAACATGCATTTTTATGGCTGCACACATGATATGGCAAATCTTCAGAATGCTCTGGATAAAGGAAATATGAATATCAAAGGTCAACATTAGGCTGAAAATGAGCATTTCAAACAAGATACATTCATCCTAGAATAAAAGAATAATTTCTATACATTTTGTTAGTAAATGGTCCCTCTGTAATAGCACATTGATTGACCCCTCACCTCTCTCTCTCTCTCTCTCTCTCTCTCTCTCTCTCTCTGTCTCACACACACACACACACACACACACACACACACACACACACACACACTCAGACATGCGAGATAGAGAAATTTTGTCTGGACTCTTGATATTGTCCAAAACTTAGAAAAGTTTTTAGGGAGGCTAGAGTAGGCCAGAAAGGTTTCCAAATATCAGAAGAGTTAAGCTTCCTATGAGTTTTTGCCTTTGAGGATTAAAGTAGTACTGCAATATGCTGCAAGTTTATTAAATGAAGCATGCATGAGCCAAATTCTGAAATATATTTCAGAGGTCTCTTTTTCAATTTGAAAATCATGTTATAAAAGTATAGAAAGTGAAGGAGTACTTCACAAGGGCAATTGGAGAGATGAAAGAGTAGAAGTTAAATTATATTCTTTCCCTAGTCTATTATAGAAAAAAATAATATTAGTCTATCATTTATATTTCTTTGAATGGAGTTATCCTAACTTTATCTGTAATTCTCTGGTTTGCTTCATAGAATAGTTTTCCATTATTCTTATGTTGTACAAATGATAGGTGGCCAGTAACTGATTATTGAGTAGGACAGAAGAACTGTTTTACGAAAATAATTTCTACTGACTATCAGTGAGTCAACTATTATGAAATTCTTGATAATATAGTCATGTAAAAGATTACTGTTCTTTTCTGACAGGTTTACAATTTTTTTTTTTTTGTAAAAAGCATGACACGCTCATCCAACAAAAAGAGGCTTTTAAATTTTTCTTTTCAGAGTTTCAAACAATAAAGATCTTCAATCTATCCATTCTGAGCATTTTGTTTGGAACTTGTAAAAGTCTCATGGAAGTCAACAAATGCCAGGACTCAAATATTTACAGTTAGGATTAGTAATGACTTCAAAGAGGTCTTGAAAATGAGAGCCAGATTGCTCACATAAACTCACAAATTTAGAGCAATTTAGGGCTGAAGAAAGATCCAAGAGAAGGAGAATTTTAAGGTAAATATGAATTTATTATAGTACTAAACTTAAAAAGTCGAGGCCAATCCAGAAGTGAGCTATTATATGCCAAATAGCAAGGAAAGTCCAAAGCTAATGATTAAATCCTAATCCACAGCTGACAGTTTGAGGAGGGTGAGGGATGGAAACAGTTTCAGGAAATGGGAAGAGAAGACAGTCCAAGTTCCAGCAAAGACATTGAAAAATCTAGGGAAGGACACAATTCTGCCCTTTCAAAGTACCCATCACAACTCAACTGTCTCTTTCTGTCTTTGTTTCTCTCTACACAGGACTCTTTCTCTTCTGCTTCATGAAAGGATCCTGACCCTGGATTGGCCACACAATTTTTCCTAGCAGTTGGGAGGAAGATTGAAATCATGACAATTAAGTCTGACTTTCCAGGGTTGCATAGTCTGACCCATAAATATAAGTCATTAACAAAAAAAAAGAAGTGACTTATTATGTAACTGAAGAATAATGATGTGTCTGAAAGACAGAGCCATTTGTCTCTGGATACCAGGATGCTAATTTCCTGGCAATTGGCCAATTATCTACTAGAATTTTGAAACATATCTTATGGCCTCTGGAGCTTATAAAGTCATTGTAACATTGTGCTCACTGTCCCCAGCACATAACCAATCTTAAACTTGCCCGCAACTGTCTAGGATTAGATGTGAACAATGGATTCAACAAACCTGTAGACTCAAACCAAGAGCAGAATGCTTTTAAACCAGTATTTCTTTGGTTTTGAATGATCCAGAGTAGTTATTTGCACCATATTCTTAAGAACCCCTGCTTCTTAATAAGATCTATGGGATCTTGACAGCATTTCTTGAGTATCACTTTCATCCTAATTGCTTTATGTGTAAGTTACACATAATAGAATTTGCTTATAACATGCAATAAAGCCTTGATGTTGTTGCTGTACCTTCTTGTGGGGAGCATTCTTATTTTCAAGCTCCTTGGACATTGAGGGTCCCAATCTTCCCCAGTACCTGGGTTAGAAGCTGTAAACTAAAATTCTGGAAAACATCCAATGATCTTTGTTCTTCTGTGAGGAAGGGAAAATATTTTCTTAAAAGTTGTAGGCTGATGTCCCTTGTGACAGTAAAATAAAGGCCATTCCAACAACAACAACAACAAAACGTTTTAGGTTGAAGGAATTCAAAAGTTGAACAGAATTCAAATTAAGTAAATTTTATTTTATGTTTAATATGCACACAAATAAAATAAAAAGAACATGAATGACCAAATTAAAGAGGTCAAAAGGCAATGTGTAAGTTTGGATATTTCTGCTGATGCCTTGTAAGAAGAAGTGAGATGTCCCAGGCCATTTTCCAGTATGATATTTGCAATGGATTTCCTCCATCAACTCTCATTAATCTTCTAAGTCTAATATATCAAAGGTAGTGAAATCATATTAATTAGAGAAAGAGATGATTAACTTTATCCCAATATAAACATAAAGTGATGTTTCTTGAACGTTAATTCATTTAGAAACAGGAGATTATTTTGGGTATGCTGTCCTCTCTGTGTATGACTCTCATTTCATTTAAAAGTGACAGACTGCCATATTAAATAATAAATTGTTAGAGCTACTTGACCCTAACTGAGCGAGGTACTTTTGCAATTTTAAAACCCGGAGCTTATTAGCAGTATTTTCTATTAGCAGTATTTTCTATTAGCCGTATTTACTTGCATTTCTCTGGGGACATCTAGTGGAGAAAGCACAGTTTACAATGTTTCTGGAAGCACAGCACCTATTACATCTTGATTAAAATCATAATTAATTTGGAATTCCAAAAATTTTAAATATTTTACTAATTTGAAAATGCTGAACATCTGAAAATTAATAGCATTCTTTTTTTATGAACTCTCTCTCTCTGTGTCTCTGGTCCTGAGAATTGAATCTGGGGGCACTCTACCACTGAGCTATACCCCCAGCTCCCTCCCCCACCAGCTCGCCTCCTACCCCCAGCCCCACATCTTTTTTTTTTTTAAGTCAAGATCCCTACTATGATGCCTAGACCAACCTTTGACCTGCAGTCCTTCCGCCTCACTCTCCTGAGTTGCTGGGATTACAGGCATGCCCCAGGGACCTGGCTCTTACATGAAATCTTTTAATGCTAATGCAGATTGCCCACAGTAAGTAATGTCGAATCTGAATAACAGTTGAAAAGACAATGCCTGTTTATGCATGTATGTGGCCAAAAAATGAACTGCTTCACTTTTTAACCTGATATACATATTTTTTTCTATATTGTCATGGAGTAGTGACACATGAATAAGAAACTATAACTGATTATTTTAAAAAAATTTCTAATTCACATTTGGACGTAATCACTTCCACAGCCTTATTTCAGGCGTTGGTTTCCTCTCACATGTATACACGCTGCTTCTCACCTCTCTCACTCTGGATACTGTTGACAGTATGCCTTTCATCTTCTCTTTTTCTTGGATCTAGATAACTTTGTTTCAGAATGATTAAGACCCTCGTCATCATCTGTCTGCCGTCCACAAATAACTTCTAATATTTCTTCAGATCAGACTGAAAGATGAAGGGATGGATAATTGCTGCAATTAAGGAAATCTGTAGTTATCCATCTCTCTCCTATAGTACTAGAATTTCAACGTCCCATCTGGCACATTTGGTCTGCTGAAAATAGAATTATTCTATAATTTGCAATCATCAATTTATCATTTTCCCCAAATTCTTTCCCTTTGAAATAGGAATACTCTCAGGCCCATGCTTAGACATCTACCTCTTTGCTGATGTTTTCTTTTAACTGATCTGTTCCTGTCCAACACTGTCCTCAGAAATCTCTCCATCCATTTTTAGAGGTGTGGTACATGGTCTATATG